CGAACCAGAATGACTATCCCACCCAGAAGAAAATTGGCCTAACAGTCAATTTCCAGCTACCTCGAACGAAAAAATGTTCAGCATATCTTCAGGAACCTGAAAACTTCGATATTTGTGATCATTTCACAACTTACTCACGGGCAATGCGAGCAACAGCCAAAATTATACGTTGGTACCACCAATCCAGCAACTCCCAATAATTTCGGTCAGCAAATCCAAGACGCCAAAACAAGGCTTATCATAGCAGCACAGCGCCTTTTCTACCCAAAGAATATGCACAAATACACAATAAACAATTCATTTCCAACAAAAGCACGTTTGGCACACTTGGCCCATTATTGATTCAGCAGTTCAAATAAGAACCAATAGTCGATTAGTCAACGCGTACGTACCCTACAAGTAACAATTCCCCATATTGCTGCCACTCTTTTTATTGAATTTATTCACAGTACTCTACTTCATGCTCAAAATCAGCTGATGATAAGAGCTATTCGCCAAGAATTCTTTGTACTCAAAGTAACAAAGCTCTTTAAAGCATGCGTTCGCAAATGAGTAATATGCACTCGCTTCAATCACACAACTCAAAACCAGATTATGTCCACACTTCCCCCCGAAAAAACGCAATTTTCTCCCGAGTTTACAGTAACTGGAGTTGACTTTGCGGGTCCTTTAAACCCACAAGCGTCAATTATAGGAACTCGAAGGCTACGATTCCATATTCGTATGTTTCTCCACCAAAGCGGTCCACTTGGAAGCCGTCTCCGAACTCAGTTCAAAGGCTTTCCTGCAAGCATTCGAACGCATTTGCAGCCGTAGAGGCATTTCCAAAAAAGTTGTGTCTGATAATGGCCGAAATTTCGTTGGCGCCACTAGAGAACTCTCCAAAAATTTCGTAGAGTTCACAAAATCCGCAACTGAACAAGTTTTCAACACATACAGCATCCGTGAATTCGAGTGGCAATTCATATCCCCACACGTTCCACATATGGGCGGACTGTCAGAGGCTGCCGTTAAAAATTTTAAAAACATTTCACCCGGACAACTGGTACCAGAGTTTTCACCTTGCAAGGAATTTTTCAACTTACTGGCAAAAATAGAAGCAGTTCTTAAGTCCAGACCACTATGCATACCCAAACCCAATGTTTATGACTTATTATTGTTAATGGACCGACAAACTAACACCGGTCAATTACGCGACCCATTGTCAAAGTTGAAATAAATAAAACTGTGCACCCTGGGACGTCGACGAGCCGTGCGGCAAACGGGGTATTGCTCCAATTGCCTGGCTACCACGAATGCAAGTCAACCACGAATGCAAGTTCACCACACAATGTTGCATCACAGACCCGCTATCCAATTGGCAAAAGAGGAAGGTCGCAAACCCAAGGAAGAACGCAAACCCAAAAAAGGAGGAACAGCAGACCGTCTCCGTCACACAAGAAACAGCGACCCGCCAGGTTACAAGAGTCGGCGAAACGCAGTACCTCACCGTCCCGTACGCTGCAGCAGCGGCAGGAAGCCATTACAAGTCTCACCAAACTCTAATCCATGCTGGCCTAGAACTGCCTTTCGGCAAGAGCGCATGCTAAGCCTTAGCGAGGCACCAGTATTCTGTATATAATAATGGTTTAAATTCTATTGAGAGGAGCAAGTGTTTGAAAATATATATATTTTCCAATTCCATCGTTTCAATTAAGAGCCAAACCCTGTACAAAAGACGGATAGATACAGCAGAAAACAGGCTGTGATATCATAATAAACCCGTGTGATATCATACAGACGAACAGCTTCGCAGTTTTGTTTTTATTTGGGATTTCAAACATCATCATTAACAGCATCATCATCAGTAGCATCATCATCAGAACATCACCAGAGGCATCTTTAGCATCTCAAATATAAGTAGCTAGCCGGCTACTTATTCAATCGGGTTGATACATATGTAGAAATCGATCTTAAAATCCAGAATTTGGTAGCAAAATTTGGTAGTAAAATTATGGCAATTTACGCGAGAATGAACTTGCGATTGGACTTTGTGCCGTACTACCGAGTTATTCTTCCCAAAAGAGGTAATGTTTAAGCACAATTTGTTTCTTTGCAACCGTAAGCGCTGAGCTAAGTCCTCGGCAATGAATAACTTGATCATTACTGGCAACATGACTTAAAAAGGCTTGAACTGAATGACTAAAAGCTACTGAATTTTCCTGTAATTGCATTTGAGGCATTGAGCCCGAAGTAGTGGGGTGGCGCTCTGCCCCGTATCTGTAAAAAAGTGAGGCTTTAAGCAAACTCGCCAAACTTTTGCGCATGTCACTTTTTTACTGAATGTCCTTGACTAAGACAATTAATGCACAAACGACTGTGTTCGTGCAAATCTAAACGCTGAATCACAGTAAGAGCAATGAAAGCTTGACAATTGCCTAAACTATAACTTGCCGCTGAGCAATATCTACATTTTGAATCAGTCCAGCGGTCTGTTTTCGTTAAAAAAAAGGACGACTAGCTGCGGTTTGAATGAGGGACTTAGGGCAATACAAATCCCAAACATATTGTCATGCCAGAAAGACACAACGATCCCACCTAAAACGGATATATGCGAACCAATTGAATACAGCTACACCCCCTTTGAAGCATTGCTCCCAACCAGAGAAGACTGGGAGCAAGGCCAACCGGGGCTAATAGAGGCAGTCAATTTCTACACTGACGGCTCCAAATTAAATAATCAAGTCGGAGAAGGAAATCAGGAAATCCTTCAGACTTCCATATCACTGCAGTGTCTTCCAAGCGGAAGTATGGGCTATAAATTAAGCTTTTATGATCCCAAACGATGCAAACTGTCAAAAGAAATAGGTAAACATCTATGGTTAACTCCGATATCGTATCAAAACATATGAAACATTTATTGTAACGTTTTTCAAACAGACTAATTCCTTGAATTTTGGTTGATTTTTTGAAAGAGATGTGTCGTTGTGGACCAAACTTTCGAAAAGACTAATGAAGTTCTTAAACTCGGCATGCTTTCCACTTAACCTGGGAAGGCTCATTTAAGGTAACTGGGACATATTATATTTGATTTGGCATATCCTTCCTTACCGATTGATTCCTTTTCGTATTGATGATGATGTAGTATATTTCAGACGCGAACCTAATCTTATCCCATACGTGTTAAAGGTTTCCATAGAAAAACGCCAAAAAAATTATTAAATTTTTATTGAGCAGAATAATATTTGTTTGGGTTATATAGAGTAAGTGTCAATAAATTCAAACTTGGTATGTATGCATGTATGCGTATGTTATATATACGCGGCAACGAAATTCAATAAACAACCAAGAATTGATGTCAATGCACAATACCCATCAAACTGTGCATACATACACAGCGCCAAATTCAATTTAAACGATTCCTACAAAACTTTATGTAGTGTTTAAGAGGCACTGCAACAATATGTATTGCTGAAAAAAGAACTGTTTTCAAACTGGACACTGAACTGCACAAAAGGGAATAGAATTTAGCGGCACATAGCCGTTTTGGGTGTACCTGTACTTTTGCAGTTGTACCGTTAAGGATATGCCGATTGTTGAATGCAGTCCACTTTTATTATATGTTTTATTTCAGTTATTGAAGAGTGCCAAAAATCCAAGCGCGAATCCAACTGCGACGTCCACCAGATAGGTTAGGTTCGCACTACGAAAATAATAATAAAGTGGCGAGACGACGAATGCACTATATTTGTTCAATTATCCGCAGTTTCAAATTGATGTCCTTATCGCGCTGACGCAGCCAGCGATTTCAAGCGAAAAGAAGCGACTTACTCCCACGAGCAGTACCGAAAATTGCAAGAGATAAGCGATGTTACAAACCTTATCAGTAGAAGAGCAAGCGACTTAGCAAGCCACAACTTTTAGTACATCATCATTAACAATGACTTCGTATATGTTGGGCTGAGAAACTTTAATTAGAGTATATTTAGGCCAATCTAATTGATATTTTCCTGTGCAGGTACTTTGCTGTTAAAATGATTTTTAAGTCTGTGATTCTTATTCTTGATGGCGCGTCGGCTGTATAGGGGTCTCTTAAGGGGTAACGCCACCTTCGAAATTTTAAAAATCGATTTTGTATTAGTTAAAATGCTTCCTTATAGTTTTGACGATATTAAATAATATAATAGAGTATGTTTAGAATAACTAAGTTAATTTTTTCCTGCGCAGGAATTTTGCTGTTAAAATGATTTTTAAGTCTGTGATTGTTATTCCTGATAGCGCGTCGGCTATATGGTGGTATTTCCTCTTAAGGGGTAAAAATCTATTTTTTATTATCAGTTTCGACGATATAAAAGAATATAATATCTGGTTAATTTCGAGCACTCATCACCATGTGTAGAAATTTCTCGAAACACGGTTTTTAAAAACGAAATAACACATATCTCCAACAAATTTCAACCGATTCCAAAGGTTTTTATATGCAAATACTCACAATACGATCCTCTTCGATCTATCGTAGGATTTTTGCAATACAATATTTTTGTTTATTTTATAACAATTTGTGTAATAAAAAACATGGGAAATTTAAATTTCTTAACAAGTCCGTATAAAATCGAATCCCTACGATAGATCATAGCCCGTACATTTCTTATAAAGACGAAAACTTGATTGATGTAGCCGGATGGAGATTTTCGCAGCTACACGGCGTACAAGGTATACTCGCCCTGCGAGAGAGGCAATATTCGCAATACCATCTCAACTATGATTGTCGATGAAAACGTTGTCAAATGATTCCCCTGACGGAAAAAAAAAAATAATTTGGCAATTGAATCCAGGTTCCCAAACACTTAAACACTTAAATAGGTAAAAAGCTTAATTAGCTATACATTTTTGCAGGATATTTTAACATTAATAAGAAGTGGGACCAAGAACATTGCAACATTGTGTCATGCATAGTCTAACAATTTTAGTTGTAAAAACATATAATATTTTTTATCTGAACAAATGATTATAATACATACCTTAACAACGCTGTAAACTGCTTGTGAATATAGCATGCTTATTTCAACAGGATCTTGTGATAGTTCATGAGTTGATTTAAAAAGTCTCTTTTTAAAAACAAATCGATTTTCTCCTGATTGAGATCCATTTGCAAGCCTTTTGGTGCCGGAACCCGAAGTTTGTTTTAGTTCCCAAGCCGAAATTATGTCATACAAATAATCAAAACTCTTTATGTGTTCTTCACCGTCTGGACGAGATTGATAAATGGCCCAACCATCAGTTGTTGCTAAGTTAAGTTTTTCAGCGAGCTTCTGGACAGCGTCTCCTGCAGTGTCAGTTGGGTGAACATCGATAGCTTTAGTGCGTGCATCCAAGAAAAAAAATCTGCACACGATTGTTCCAAGACGTCGCATAGCCTACAGAAAATAAAGTTAATTAGATTTAAATAGAATGTTTTTATTCTTCTTGCTTTTGCTTTCTGAAATAAAAAAACCCCTAAATCGAACACATTAAGGATATAGTGAAATGGCGGGGCAAATACTAGGAGGGGTTTCACCCCTCCTTTACAAACAAAATTTTGGTGCCTTATACTTGTAGAATTAGTCCATTAATAGATTTCTCCAGCCCCCTCCAACCAATACCAATTTTAAAACATTCCAGACATATCAATTTTACACATTTTGAACGAATGCCAAGCCATCAAAAACTTTTAGCTTTCAAGCCCGATGATAGATCTAAGAATTTAATGATAGCCACCAAGCACTAAACCTTTGTAAATTTAATATTATTCGTTAAAATTATGTATCTTCTGTATTGTAACGAACTGATTTTCTTTATTATCTGCTCGCTACGAATGTCGTGCGGCTAGCTCAGAAGATGTACGTGTTCGTCCCACCAAATTTATATATACGTGACCGCCCTTTGACCAGTGAAAACACACAGAAAGATTGGGAGTATGCAGTGATCTTTTATTCGCCGACTTGACCCTCGGCCGGGGTGGTGTACTGGTTATGTAGAATTACGTCCTGCCGTCGTCTCCTTCCCGCGTTGAACGCCTCTCTGGATCGTGCCGGCTGCGAAGTGGTGTCTTCCTCGCCGGTTTTGCTCGCGATGTCTTCTGCCACCCTTGGCTCGGTGGGTTTACAGGGGCTAGGGATGCGTCACCGTTCCCAGACTAGGGTGAACAGGCACTGTGCTCTCAAGGCGTACGCCTTTCGCAGCCGCAGCCTCCTGTCCCTTGCTCTGTCCCGGCCGGTCGCACCGGACGTCGGCTCAGTTTCTACCTGACGGTTCAGGCGTACGCCGGAAGCCGCCAACGCAGTCCCTGGGTCAAACGCCAGGTTCTAGACGAACGCTTCCACCCTACCCTCTCTGCCGCAGGCTTAAGAATTCGACGTGTGGGCTGCTCGCTCGACGCTCGTTTTCGTCGTCCTGGGTCCTCGTTGTCCTTGTCCGCCTCCAGCTATCTCGACCAGCTCCGCTCCTTGTTGGTGACTCGGTAAGCTGCCGTTCTGGGACTCTAGCGGTGGACCGCTGTGCTCTCAACGCATACGCCTTTCGAGACACCAGCTGAACAAACGCGCGTCCTTCCGGGCTAGTCGCACCAGGACCTTGTACAGTTCCTGCAGGACGATCAGGCATACGCCGGAGTTCGCCAATGCAGTCCTTGTAGGCAGGTAGCTAGTTCTGGACACTTTGCTTCTGAGCCCACGGTTCTTCGTCGAAGGACTCTATTTGTTCACTTTGTCGGACACGCCGGGTGGGATGCCAAGCTCAAATCGCGACAGAAGTTGTAACAAAGCGCCTGGACTTAGCCGTGTGATGCCGTAAGGACCTCAGCTACCTGTGTCTCAATTCGGAGACTTTAGCTCTAAGTCCCGAACGTCTCGACGTAGCGATCTTGTTTCCTTGATGACTCCGCACGGCTTTACTTGCTCCTTCACAATGTTTCACTGGTTACTTGTTCACTTGATGACTGTTACTTGTTGACTTGATAGAAATCGACTGATCCAGCTTCCTGCGCTCGGCCGGTTTATATAGGCCTCCATTTACCGCTAGTTATTGGCGTCTCCTTGCCTCCTGGTCCAAAGTCCACGGTTTTACCGTTCGACCTTTCGCCCTCTGCGCCCGGCACCAATATCAGGGTCCAAAGTCCGGTGCCGTCCCGTTACTTCCTTCTGCCCACGGCCCTTCGCCGCTCTCTCGTATTGCTGTCCCTCTCGGACTCTCCTTGGCTTTGTCTGGTGCTCAGTTCACCACTCTCTCTCCGCACTACCGTTACTACGGGTGAATTCGCCGCGTAACTGGTAACTGGTAGGCCACTGCTTGCATGCGCTTACTCTGCTTGCTTCTTAACTTGTGGGGAGTTATTCAACTCCTCACATTCTCCCCTTACTTCGGGAATGAAAAAGAGACTCGCTGTTCTCTCTGCCTTGGTATACTCCAAATTCTGACATCCTTCCCTCGACGTGTCTTCTCCTCGTTCGCCTGTAGTCTTCCAGTCGACTCGCTCTTCCAGATGGTTCCCACGACGCTCACAGCTCCTTATGGAGTTCCACAGCGCCGATCCTCCTTCCAGATTTTGAATTTCCCGCCCAGACGTTTCCCCCGTAGACTTTAAATTCCCGCCCAGACGTTTCCCCCGTAGACTTTTGAATTCCCGCCCAGACGTTTCCCCCGATGATTTTTGAATTCCCGATATGTCTTCTCCGTCGGATGGCCACTCTACGTCGTGCCGATCGGTTTCCAGTTGTTATCGGGGATATCGATATTCCCCCGTGTGACTCTCCGCTGTACGGTCACTCTCCGCCCAACCGATCGGTCTCCAATTGTTATCGATTCCGTGACCCAACGTGGCGTTGCCACTCGATGTATCGATTTTCCACAGCGTGACTCCTTGTGCCGATATTTCCAGTATTTTGTGCCCACCGATCGACACTATCGTGTAGGGCCAATCGGTGACCATGAATCGAAACGCCCCCATCCCTTGTTTATAGTGACTCCGCACAATGCTATGGTAAGCGCAATTTCCTTTCTATTTCATGTTTACTTATTTTCTTTTTCCCCAAAGCTTGGCCCAGGATCGCAGAGTTGACCTTTCCTGCCCTTGGGGCCGGTGTCGATGACCCTACTCGGCTCATCGCTTTCTTGCGTCGTTCTGCATTTAGTTGGCAAGTGGTTTGTTTCCCTGCGACCCCGGTTTTCATGTATATTTCTCATTTCAGATTGCCGGATCATATGTAGTGCCTTTCATGTGTGTGTATCTTCCCATTTTTTTTTTTATCGTGACCGTTTATGTGTGTGCGCGTCCTATTCGTGTTTTTCCGGCTTGGCATGCTAACTAATTAACTGTGGCCGTTTATGTGTGTGCGCGTTATTTCAGTGTTTTTCCGGCTTGGAATGCTACGGTAAAGCTCTCGAGCTGTACCGTCTCCCCTCTTTCCTCGGGAACGAGAAAGATCTGGTCGTGGTCTTCCTCGATCCGTACAGAGTCTGCCGACGCTACGGATTGTTGTTGGCCTGCGGTCTTTTCGGTTTCTTGTACTGTGCATCACCTTATTCTTCGCGGCGTATTAATGGATGACTCTGGCTTCATGCCCGACGCAGAATCTGCTTGCCTCGTTGTCTGGGTCACTGTGCCTCCTTTTTATCTGCGTTCTATATAGACTCTGGCTTATGCCCGACGATGTAGTCCGCACGTTTTGTCGTTGCATGCTCGTGTTATCCTGCGGTCTATATAGACTCTGGCTTATGCCCGACGATATAGTCTGTACTTTTTGTCGTTGCATGCTCGTGTTATCCTGAGGTCTATATAGACTCTGGCTTATGCCCGACGATATAGTCTGTACTTTTTGTCGTTGCATGCTCGTGTTATCCTGCGGTCTATATAGACTCTGGCTTATGCCCGACGCTATAGTCCGCACCACCTGATGTTGTTGCCTGCTTGTGTTGTCCTTGCTTGTCTGTACCGAGTTCTTGTGTTTGTTGTTTAAGCTCACTGACGTGGACTGTTCGTTCTTTTTGCGTATCCTTGTGGCGGAGTTTACAAATGACTGGTGAGACGAAGTCTATTACCGTGTACGGTCCGTCGTATCTCGGCGCTAGCTTTGCCGCGAAACCCTCGGCTGCCTTTGACAGATGGTGCTCCTTCGCCCAGACTGTGTCCCCTATCGTTGGATTCCATTGCCTTCTTCGTAGATTGTAATGCCTGGCTTGGTCCTGAGCAGCCTTCTCCATGTTCCGGCGCACAATTTCGAAGATCTCCTTCATCTTATTGGCCTTATCTTCAGGCGTTTCTGTCTGCTTTCCCGTGCCGATGGTTTCCCTGTCGTACAGGGCGCTGGGCAGTCGGGGCTCTCGAGCCTGCGTGAGGAAACACGGGGAGTACCCTGTTGACTCCGACGTACTTGAATTTACCGCTAGCATAATCTCCGGCCACTTCTCGTCCCAATTCCTCTGGTTCTGTCCCGCAAACTGTGCTATCATGGTTTTAACTGTCCGGTTTGCTCTTTCCGTCGGATTCTCCTGCGGTGTATATGGTGCCGTGAATTGTTGCTTGATGCCCATTTCGCTGAGGAATTTTTTGAATGCACGGCTGGCAAACTGAACTCCATTGTCCGTTATTACTACCTTGGGGATTCCGAACCTAGCGATGACTCTTTCTCGGAACGCCTTTTGAAGTGATTCTGCCGTTGCTGCTCGCAGTGGCACCAATTCTGTCCACTTTGAGAACCTATCTATCAGAACTAGCAGCATCTGGTTGCCATGCTTCGACCTGGGCAATGGTCCGACAAAGTCTGCACATACCGTTGCCCATGGTTCATTTGCGTCAGCATTTTCCCGGCTGCCTGCATCTGGTTGGGCTTGTACCTGAGGCATGTCTCGCATTTCCGCACGTGTGCTCGGGCGTCCCTATGCATTCCTGGCAGGTAATATCGAGCCGCCAGCCTTGCGATCGTTTTCCGACTTCCCACGTGTCCAGCAGCTGGTGAGTCGTGATTCTCCTTCAGGACTGTTTCCCTCAGCCCCCGTGGGACACAGAGCTTCCATGCTGCCACGTCTTCGCTTCCTGCTCTGTGCGGGATATGCCTGTACAATGCGCCTCCCTCCATGATGTAGTCCGGAAACTTCTGTGGCTGTTTGTTAATCTTCTCACACATATCCTTGATCCAACTGCATGTTCCCTGCGCGTCCTCCGGAGTTTCTTTAGTTAGCCTAAAGGCTTCTGGTAGAGGCTGTCTTGACAGTGCATCAGCGACCACGTTAAGCTGCCCCTTCCTGTATGATATTTCAAAATCATACTGCTGCAGCTCCAGGGCCCACCTCGCTATTCTTCCTGAGGGACTTTCGATGCTGTTTAACCATTTAAGCGCCATATGGTCCGTCACCACCTTGAAGTGGTATCCTTCCAAGTATG